CCGTGTCTTCAGGGCTTTAAGTTGTGCTGGCCAAAATCAGCGGAAAATAGGCAATGGTAAATGAGAAGGGGAGCATCTTGAACCTTGAAACCAAGGTCACTGTCTCATCCCCGAGGTGGATATCGTGAAGCCCAGGGGGTTTCCAATGATAAGGTGCCAGTGCTCAAATGTCTAGAGTCTGGTGGCTGGACTGGAAGATGGAGATGTAGTTGTTGTCATGGCCACCATCATACCCGCCGGTGCTTGGATATTGGAGGTGGTATGTAGTGGGTGATTAGGTGTGCGAAAACCGCAACGTTAGCGCACCGTAAGAGAGATGCTGCCACAGGACGTCGACGACGGGCAATATGAAGCCGGGACAAAGGGGAGGCGAGTTCCATGATGTTAGTCCCACCGGTTTACAAATGTTGAGACCTTCTTTTTCCGGCGATGGCAGTCCAGTGGAGCTTGAGACCCAGAGTCTGGAGTTCGGGTTGAGACAGGCGGGGCGAGCGGGACGGGAGGTTAAAGGTTATTCAAAAGTGGATCCGGGCCTGACCGGATGATGTGGGTCCCGATACCTCGAGTGTGAGACGGAACCCCGATAACCTGGAAGACCCCGAAAGAATGGAACGGCACCGCGGGAGAGAGCGGGAGCGGGGTGGCGTGGGAGCGGGGATACCTGAGGGGAACGCCTCTGACAGCGGAGTGCCCCTGGGAGGCCTTGTTGCCGACAAGAAGGCGTCCAGCGAGACAAAGGTACGAGAAAAGGTAATTAATTGGTGGACGTGGGAATGCATTTAAATGCAGATAGGATCATAGGGCATGCTGTCTCCACTTTAAAGTTGTCCTCCACCAGCGACTTCGCTCTGGGGTAAGGTATTTGGCTGGAGGATGCCATGTCGCTGGCGTACTTCCAGGATCCCACCTCTTCCATCCGACCATTCCAACTGTCAATCTGTGAATCCAGTGCTTCAATGTCTCGAAATGGAGACGGGAAGGTCATAGCCGGAATAGGGAACGGGAGAAGTGGAGCTCGAGATATTTTGACCTACAGTATGCACAATGTTTCTGGCAGCCTGGAGGCGTGCTTTTGACAGCCCCGGAGATAGGGCGGAGGGGGTGGATCTCATCGATATGAAGTGACATGGCCTGGATTCGGACATTGGGGGAATGTGGATGGGCTGGGAGGGTTGAAGTTTAAACCCCAAAATCCCAACTTTTGCGAACGAAGCTTTCGGAAGAGCAGCCGAGGTGCGCGTGTCATGGTGTGCACTGGGGGCGTCAAAGCAACGAAGTACATACCTCTATGCTTAATAAGACGTTCCGCGGCGCGTCAACTCTCTTAACATTAGTAAAACGCGCTTTCATCTCTTTCGCGGCATTGACGTCAGCATTGGTTTTATTGTCACTAATCCAGACGGAAAACCTCCATCGTGAAAACAGTCAGTATCGATAGAATATCTTTCCATTCCGGCATCTGACTTCGACTTCCACGGGCGTCCTCACCTTCCATTTGCCCTTGTCTGCTGGCACCTGGCAGCCTAGGGGTTCCGGCGCGCTAAGCTTGATCTGGATTGTTAGCAGAGATCCACGCCAAGAACCGCGCGGCAGGGTACCTAGCTAAAGCTCGAGCCAGGCAACAAATCGCATCACAGTACATGTGTATGTAACACTGTCAAACACAAAGTCACCTCGCAGCACTTCGACAGGCGGTGCTTCCACTCACTTTGCACGCACCCCCGACATTGCCTGCTTTGCGGGCAGTTTCCACTTTCAACCATTCAGCGAATCTGTTCGCGGCTCCCTCCCGTTCGGTCCCCGTCTCTCCCCGCAGGTCACCCACTGGTTTTCGTCAAGCGTCAACAGGACCCCGTCGCCCCATTGCCCCCGTAGCTCCGTGCCCTGCCCTTCCCATCAGAGGCTTCACGAGACATCCTGAACCTGGAAGCCGGTCATCGCAACCTTGGGCCTGCAGCAGGAACGGGATTTCCCAGCGCGATTGACCCGCGATTTCATCATATCTTGCGGCAACGCCTAAGCCACTTTCTTCAATCTGACCCTGCGGCGCGCTTACTAGTAGCCTCTACCTGGTCTCATTCAATTCAATCTCGACTTGACAGATGCGCTTTTCCTCGTTATCGCCTTTCGCGCTTCCTAGATCGGCTGACAAGATTCCATCGCCAAGTCGCCATCTCGAGTTTTTTTTTTTTTTTCCCAAGTGCTTTTTTGTGTTTGTTTATTTTACTCCCTCAGCTCCTAGCCATCGCGCTATTGCTCGCTACCTTCGACTTTGCTACTCCTGGTACATCTCTCTACAGTATTACCCTTGGCCCCCGGCGGATACAGATACAGGCTATCTCGACGTTTTCTTCAGCCCCCCCCCCNCCCCA